GCGTTGGACTGCTAATCCAATGTGCTCTGCACGCGTGGGTTCGAATCCCATCCTCGTCGCATTGGCTTTTTTGTCAAATTCTTACGTTGGTATTTTTAATGCTATAACATTAGAATCAATTTAATGCTGATTTTTCAATAAAAAATGTATACTTTTCTTTTCAACTAACTTTCTATTTTGTTTTCAACATAAAAAAATTCCGACGAGGATGGGATTCGAACCCACGCGTGCAGAGCACATTGGATTAGCAGTCCAACGCCTTAACCTCTCGGCCACCTCGTCATATGCGACCTTGACACCCAGTTGCTCTTTTCATGTACAGCTTAGTTGATACGCAAGCAGTGCACAAATGTAATATATTAATATTCCTATTAGGAATAGCATAAAAAAAAGCAGAACGGAAACATGATTTCTGTATTTACACGTTTATATGAATTTAAAACGCATTCGCTCAAAATAAAAGTACATTTTATAAATGAAAATTTGCAATAAATTATGTATACACTGCTTGCCATAGTTTCCGATTCTAGTACACTGCTTTATACACTACTGAACTGCTTTGTAGAGGTAAAACACTGCATACTCGCCGACTACATCAAGTAGAACCTTAGGACTACCCCCAACACGTGACGAGGTGGCCGAGTGGTTAAGGCGTTGGACTGCTAATCCAATGTGCTCTGCACGCGTGGGTTCGAATCCCATCCTCGTCGAAATACTTTTTTGTATTTTTTTATTTGCTGATTTAATGCTGTTAATTCAAAAGTTAGTTAAATGCTTTACCAAACAATGAATCAACTTATTTTACAGCCGTTAAAAAAGATCTAAGCTTAAATTTCAATCCATAAACAAACCGCTGCTACATAATTTTAAATCGCTTTCAAAGGAGAGAGGCTTATCTGACTTCAATTGAATCTAAAGTTTTTATGACCATTCCAGGTCGCGGCTGTTGCGCCACAGGGTACGTTTAATGACCAGCCCAGGCAGTAATATAAACGAAATGAAAATAGATACATTGATAACAAGTTAAGTGTCAACAAGATGTGGATGTGGATGTGGGGAAGCAGCTTAGTGGATGTATTCTCCAGAATTTAAGTTTATTGACATTGACCGTGAGAGGTTCCCCAAGATGCTGCCGTTGCGTCAAGGTCGCCGAGGCATTGTACAAGCTGGAATCCACAACAATTGAGAAGAATTTCGGAGCCGTAGGCTCAGGTATTTAAGCCGACAAAAAGGCAATACTTAATGCACAATAACGAAATTAAAAGCCAATTGAAATAATGAGTAAGTACTGTTGGTGCGGCTTCAAAAAGTAAAACTCACCAGAACAATTATGTTCATTTCAAATGATTTCTTTTTCATTCAATTGCTGCGACTAATTAATCTATTTAAAACAATTGCCAACAATACAACAACACAAATACAAAGATGAAATAAAAGAGCTTAAATTGCTCGTTTTACTCTTTGTATTGTTTATTTTTGCCAACTCGTTTTCGAGTAATAAAACATATTTCTTGTTCGCTAATTGCGAAAAGCCAAAGAAGTTTTGTGGCTCCATTTTCCTCCTCCGACGACGTGTTGAAATCTCCTGTAATTATAAATCTGCAAAGGCCATAAAACTAAGCTATCAATCGCTTGCTCCAATTGTCAGGAAATTGGAAAGTTTTGTTTTTATAGTGCGGATATAAAGTGATGGAGATATAGTGCGCAAATCGTTAATGCCACCTGATGTGGGAGGTGTGAAAGTGACCACTATATATGCCGGAGGGAAATCAATCTGGGTCTCAACTCTTCAATTTGAAAACATAAATTATCTCTATCCATAATATTTCTCTCCACCTGCTGGATGCGTTCGAATTATTGTTTGACTTGAATCACCTCGTTGCCGGGCCACAGATTCTACTTAACTCAAGACACAGCAGCCCAGTTTCGACGACGACGACGACGAGCAGAGCTCACAGCTTATTCAGTGCAGGGCACGCTTCGGCGCCCAGTTTAACCTTTTTACTTGTGGTCACTTGGCACTTTCACAAAAAACAAAAATCAACAACAAATATAATAATAATAATAGAATAAATAAATGTATGCACAAACTACAGTTGATGCCTGACTCATTCATACCCTGTTGAATGAAATTGCATATTTTTAGTTAATTGATTTTGACACATCCCAGATATATTTTAATTTGAATTAACACGTATGAATGGCTTATTCGTATTAAGGGCTTCCTAGAGTTCTAGCTGTGTTAAGATCGCAGCATACCCTTTTTATATCAGCTATAAGGCATGGCAAATTCATGCGATGGGCAAATATTGTATTTGTGGCTCTTGCTGCTGCTGCTGCTGAAAATTAAGCGTTGCTCTTTTCCTTTCGTTGCATTTCCTTTCGTCTGCTCTACAAATATTTAACTTTCAATGAAAGTCTGAGTCAGAGTAATTGGCGTCCATCGCCGACCCCAATCGAGTGTATGCCATTACTCAGAAAATCGACACAAAAAAAGACGGATCGAGATTTTTAGCATTGCATAAGCCGCCAGAGATGACAACTTCATTCCGAGTGCACAGCGCGAAAGTCGGGTGGCAATTAAATGGCGTTGGCCACATGCCAAACGCCAAAAGCCTCAAATTCAAGCTGAGACCCAAAAGCAAAGACAACGACAACGACTACGACAACGACTAAGACAGAGGCCAGTTAGGCTGATTCAGCTTAATCGCTTGCCGGCGAATGAGTTTAATGAACTTGCGAATTTATCGACAATAAAATGTGAAACTACTCATAATTAGGCGCACATATTTATGAACATATCATCTCTTTCGAGTGACGTACAGACAGATGGCCTTAGTCGTGGGTGGGTGTTCCCGCCATCAACTTTAATTCTGGCTAATGAAAACGTTAGACATCTAACTGGCCGGCAGACTGTCAGACTGAAACAGTTGTTTGAAAAAGAAAAAAAAAACATTTTTCATGCAGTAGTCAAACACGCAAGCCCTGCCTGTCATTTATTGCAGGAGCTGAAATTCGTGCTGTGGACAGCAGCAGCAGCATCGACCAGGCGACGCGTCTTCTCGATTAGTTCGCCCAAGCCCGGCTTATGAGAGCTCATACAGCTGGCAGTCGCAGCCATTGCCATTGCCAACCCAACTGCCAGTGGCATTGTCATTGTCTCGTGCTTCTGACTATCTATCTATATTGCTTCCGTCAGCATTAAACATATTACTCTTAATAATTCCCAGCTAAGCTCACACGGAGCGCTACGCTGATGCAGATATGGGGTACCATAGCTGGCACTGGCGTTTACAGCTCGTTCGTGATTTGTGTTGTCTAATCGTTAGCAATTATGCCAGCGCCTGCTAGAACTTGTTGTTCTTGTACCTACCAGATGCGTGCAGTTAGTTAGATGAGACTATCCAGCAGATATATGTATATACGTATAGTATCTGCCTCTGCCTCGGGTGCTCGGGCCGATGCGAGATTTTACGCACTTCAACACACGCTTTTGTGTACATTGGTTACGCGTAATTGCTGAAAGGGGAAGCTGATGCTGACGGCAAGGCTAATTAATATTTAAAGGTGTTTTGATTGCCATTCCATTGAGGCTTTGAGTAAGACTTGGGCCTGGTCCCGGTGTCTGGCATTGGTAAACAAATGGCAAATGATATATTTGCGGTTATGTCATTTGTTTGTACAGAGCGCGGGCACAACACAAAACAAAAGGTTGCACTTAAATTAGATGGGCACTCCGATTTAGTATGCGGACATATGTAGTTTTGCGGTTAGAAAAGTTGGCCAATTAGTGTTGCGTTAGTTGGTGAAAGATGAGAAAGTACGCTCAGTTGTTGTGAGTACATGGCAAAAGGGGTTTACATAATACATTATAATTACACTTTTAAATGTCAAACTTGCCTTTCTTACTTATTTTAATTAGCTGCTATAAAGCTGGGTAGCACCAAAAGAAATGGAAGTTGGCTATAAATTTTGCTAATCACATACGACCGCGCACAGACAGCTGTAATTTTAGGCAGACTGGGTCAAAGCTTGGCAGTCAACCTAAGCTCTGGCAAAGGTCAACAAAGAGCTCCACTAACCTGGCCAATAAGCCAAATCCGAAGCACAGACACCAAACGTCAGCACATCACGCAATGGCGTTTAAAAAGAGCTCACACATTATGCTGGCTGGTAACGCCCGTGGCGCCAATTAGAATACGCAAAAAAAAAACAAAGGAAAGTCGGGGCAAAACGAAAAGGCGAACCCTTTAAGCGGCACACGCACATTGTTTAACCCCGTCCAGCTCCAACTCCGGCTCCAGCTGTGTGGCATGCGGTGGCCTGTCAATAACAACCTGATTTCCACAGTAGCATCGTGTTACCCAGCGGCCTTTGTTGTCGTAGGTTCATTTGTAACTAATTTGTGCACAAATTGGAAAGACAAAAGCGACAGCCGCACAGACAGATCCAAAAGCCAGTCCAACAGTGGCCAGTGGCCAGTTGGTAATTTAATCAGAAACTAAGTATATGATGATATAGAGTTTCCAGCGTGCTCTGACACTTTCCAACCGGCGGACTGACTGGCGGCTCTCGCGGCAATTGAAATGAATCAATTCGCCTGTTCGGCCCGTTGAATTTGTCAAGCAAATGGCAAAGCAAAACCCGCAAAGTGCAATGGCAAACTGTAACAGTAAGCGGGCAAACAATAAAGTAGCAAATTGATGCAGTTCGTTCGGCTCGCTAGCGTTGGCTCATCATCAAGATCGTTGTCGGCAGTTGCCAGCCTCGGACCTCACACACATCGCTGCGAGTTGAGCCGGCAAGTGAACGCTCACTCTTACAGCCGAGCATTCGACCAAGTCCAAGTTTATGACGTAGCACCACGACGACGACGACGACGACGTCGTAGACGACAGCGCTGACGCCGACTGCGGCAGCGTCGGGCAAACACAGCACACTGATTTTGGTTTAAAGAAAAAAAAAAACAAATTACACATAGTCCGCAGATCTCATTTATTTGCCGCTCTTCGAGGCGTCCACAACGTCAAAAAATAACGCTGCGCGCTAAGCTACGTATAAGGTTTAAGATTTATAAGGCTGACGACGCGTCGGGAATATAGTGCCAGGAGCACATGGAAAACGCGTGTCTAATATAATTTCAAAATCAAATCGTGATAATAAACTACTTGTAAAACAATTTCAAGATTCCTCGTGCAAAAGAAACAATTTGCAAAAGTCGAATAATTTGAGAAGAATTTAAATATTTGCGAGGCGTAGCCATAAATTATGCGCTTTTAAGTACACATTAAATTTCACATCAACGACGCAAAGGACACTCGACAAGCATTAACTGCGCATCGAATTGGCAAATAAATTAAATAAACACAAACGCAAACGCAGCTGCAGCTGCAGCCAAAGCCATTTGAAGTGAGTGCAATTTAAATAAATGCCATTAAAATGCTCATCAATTTGCATAAACAAATACTCATTTGTGCAGTTGACAGCTGCTAGAAATTTATTAATTATAGTTGGTGCATATGCATAAATGCGGCACAGACAGCAGGCAAGTTCGTTGCCTAAGTCTTTCGTTCTGCGAGCAGTTTTCACTCTTGCCAGCGACCAGCGTAGTCGCGTTGTGACTTAATTAGTCGGGTTCAACAAATGATATAGGCATAAAACAAAGACGACCTTGACTGGTCAAAGTAAACAATCTTTCATATTAGAAAAAAAAGGAATGCAAACAAGATCGTTTAAATTGTCTAGTGAATAGATCATTAAAAGACTAGTGATAGCCACAGGCTGGAGGTTCCGTGAGATTTTCTGAGCTTGTTTTCTAAATTCTGGTTATTAGTGCAAAATTGTAGTTTCAATATGTAAAGGTTAGCTGAGCAGCGATGGTCTTCTAACTGCGAACCTGAGATTGCTGCTTGCACAATAATTCTTGATATCAAATTACATGGATAGAATGGCGAACACACCCACAACCTGCCAAAGCCAAAGAAAGCTAAAAAGGCGTTGGCTTTTCTTTCCTCCCTGCTCATATTTCATGCGGGTTGTGCTCTGGCAGCGTTCTATGTTACCAGCTAATTATTTGCCAACTTTCTGCAATTTATCAACTGTTTCCAACTGTTTTCTTTTCTTCTTATTCTTCTTCTTTCGCAGCAAGGTCAATAGAGGGCGCCACACGCCAAATTTCAGAATTGCCAGCGGCGTATTTCGTTAGAAACAAGGTATTAGCCAAATCTAAGGTAGATAATACTAAATCGCTATTATTTATGATACGCATCTTTAATTTGCATAATCAGGCAGGTGGGGGCGCAACCTCCCTGCCCCAAACATGTTAACGTTATCGCGCTTGTCTCGATTTTAAATTGATGCCGTTTAGGCTGCCAGTGCCGCCGGTTTTTTTTTTCTCTTCGATTTTATTTGGCTTTTGCTTTTTTTTTATTGATCAATTTATTTTTTACTTGCTCATTAATCACTCAGGCGTTGAAATGCGCCGCCAGATGGCGCTCGCCATGCTCATTAGCGTAATTGCTCAGCAGGCGTCGACGGCGACGACGACAGCGACTGCGGCAGCGGCAGTGGCAGCGACGTCGGCGTCCGCGCTTTGATTAGCGTGCATTAAATGCTTTCATTTAAGTAAATCAAATCAAGACTCTCGAAATCTGTTTTAATATTTTTCTTTTTTTTTTTTTTGGTTTGCGTCTGGAACGTGAGAAACTTTACAATAAAGTGGCAAACATTTTATGAAAAAAAATATTTCACGCTTTGATGCGCACAGCCGATTTACTTATTATTGAATTATTCAGCATTTGTGACTTGCAAAAAAAACGCTTGCCATTGCTTGATTTGTATCTGTAATGCTCGACTTTGGCTATTATTTATATTTTGGTAGCCATTAGTCCATCAATCAAATCTCAAAACAATTGCGATTTGAATGCAGGGCGTGGGCGCTTGATCCCCAACTTGTGGACACTTTTGTAAACTTGCCTTGACATACATACATATATATATATTCATATTTGAATACAAACATAACGAACTCCATTTCCATCTTTCTCCTCAAACTTTTTGCAGCATGCCTTCTCTGTCCTACGCACATTACGCCCTGGCTGCGCTGCTGGCACTGCTCGCCCTGGCCACGCCCCGGCCGGGCAGCGCCTACTCCTACAGCATGCGCATGCCGAGCGGCACAGATGCTGCCGGCAACGGCACGCCTCCACGTTCGATAAGCAAGCTCTTGGTGCAGTCACCGGCGCTGGACAACGTTTACATGGACTATCTGGTCACCTCAAAGCCGCTCAATCTGCACAAATACAACAAAAACGGCAGCAAAACAAAGAAAACCAAGAAGGACTCGAAAATCTATTTCATACCCATACCACCGCTACCATATCGCTATATACCCGGTGTCGGCTACGACTATCAGCCCATGAAAATCAAGCCCATTCTGCAGGAGTCACCAAGCCCAACCACATCTTCACCCAAGCTGACCGCAGATAAGAATCGCATCTCGATGCCAACCACAGCGACTCCTTTGACTCCGACGACCGCGCAGAGCAAGCTGCTGCGCGTGCAGCACCACAAGGACTACTACTTCAATGGACGCCCCTTCCGATTGCAGGTGGCGCGTGCCGATCGCAAGTCAGCGCTGACGCCTCTTAATCTTAAATCGAAATTCTATTACAATAAAAACATAATTTATTAATTAAATGAACACAGTACGAGTTTGGTTTTTTGACTGTAAAGAAATTTTTGTGGCATTTGTTCAAATATCAGATTTCAATAAGCCGGCTAAGGGTTCCACTCCCTGAATCTTGGCAACCTAAATAGGTACATAGGAGATTGACTTAGATTGACTTTGCTCGAATATAAAATACCCTGGCTTTGGTGTTAATAGGATAGACCGCACTTAGACCGTAATTCAAAGTGCTATTGAGGAATGTAAATTATTTGATAAAGTCTTCATGTATCCTAAATGTAAAAAGTTATCAGAATGCTAGGGCTTAAAAATGTTATCTTTGGGACCTAGTTTCATATCCTAAACAATTATAAATATTGTAGTGCAATCATGTAGCTGAGGAGGAATAGGTAATGTAACTGATAGCTGTGTACAATCTATATAAGCCAGTAACAAATCAGCATTAAACGGCAACATTATTACACAGCTCATGGCATGGCCGGCAATCATGATCACGTGTGGAAGAGATCAAAGCAAAACATAACTTAAAAACCATTTAGTTAAAGTAATTACCGTCGGCGTCCACACAGCATCCATTCCAGCGTTGTGCAATAAATAATGGAATGATGACAACCTTAAGATTCATTTTGGCCGCAAGTGTGGTATTAAGATATGGAAGTTGGAAGTTGGCGAAAAACGAAATAAGGGCAATTAGAAAAAAATTTGTTTGTGCGCCCCGAAAAAGCCGGCGGGCTTATATGAGATCTGAGGCGCTTTCACTCCAAGAAACTGGCCAAAAAACACGTGTAAATAAAATTCATTTAGAAGGCGCGTGAGAAAACTCAGTACGCAATTAAATAATAAACAGTAGGCAAGTTTCTAAGCGGAAAATGTGGCGTGGCATTGGGGCACGTTGCCACAACAGGGCGCCAAGCAACAGATTTATCGAACAAATGAATTCCCATACCCCGTCCTGACCCAACAGTCTGATTGAAGGGCCCCACACAAGCATACACGAACGCAGCAGGCGGACTGATTTTAGGATTTTGTTAAAGATCCCCAAAGAATAGCATTACGAATTAAACGCATAAATATAAGTATAATTATATTTTCGTTGTTCTTTTTTCTGTACGTTGCAAAATGAGCGACATGAATTCGCCCCCGCCCCCAACCCATGTATGCAACATGCAGCTGAATGTGGCGCCTTCGCAGCAGCCAAAGGTTCGGGCCATATGCGGACCGGAATACAAGCCCCGTACCTCTGAGTCTGAACAGTCGCAAGATGTCTGCGTGGTGGCCCAAAATGTCACCGTTAAGTTTTGCATATCCAACGATAATTTCATTGCCCAAGTCTATCCCAATTGCATGACCATAGCCGAGGTGAAGCAGGATCTATCGCGCAGATTCGAAGTGGACCCGGAGCTGCTGATTGTCAAGCAAGGGGGTCAAGTGCTGTGCAATACAATACCCATTTATTCGACACCATCTGATGAGTTTGGCATACACGAGTTTCAGCTGGATCTCAGCGTGCCAGATATATCAGATGGCCAGGATCCACCCACATTGAGTCTCAGTGTGTACTACGAGTGAGTATCGGCTGGCATAATGAACGATTATTAGGTATACCCTATGCACTTCGCAGAAAATACCGTTTGCCCGACTACCTGACTGTGAATATATCCGGCGAGGATACGGAAGATGGACAGCCCAAAAATATTATCGTCGAGATCGAGAATTCTGCGATTATAAAGCCCTTTCTGTGCGGCTACAAGGACAAAATAAGTGGCAAAATATTTTTGGATGCATTTACACAAACTGGACCTTACTTTGATAAATTGAAGTATAGACGTTATCGAACACGCGACACGCAGACCTGGGAGCACAAGGAGAAGACACTGGTGAGCGGCTGCTTGGCAATTGTAAACCAATCTTCGGTGCTACGTAAATCCCATAATTTTAGAATACAGCACATGAACAATCCGTACAATGCTTTCTGGATGACATCAACATTAGATATGTGTCCACGGCCACGGATTTTGTCATCATACCCGGCAAATATCAGACCTATGCCCAGAAAGAGCGTGCGGAGCGCAAGCTCGAGAAGATTCTGCTGATTCAGCGCAACTGGCGACGTTGGATACTGTGGAAGTACATACATATACGTGCCAAGGAGTATCGGTAGGTGGATCAAACTCAGCGATCAAGATCTTATGAACATTGTATTGTTCTTGTTTTTTTCACCAGCCGCCTGGTGAAGAATCGCGTGGATGAGGAAAATCAGTATGAACAGTGCGTGGAGCAGCGTGTGGAACGCACTGAACTAATCAAACAATTTCCACGCACCAATGATGACTTTGATTTGCTCTTTGCGGAAATCTCGCGCTGGAAACGAGCGGAACTTAAACGCATCGCAGCCAACTATGAGGGACCTGCACGTATTTCTGAGGTCAACATTCTGTTGGACAAGGAAATCCGTTTGCTGAACGGTGTGGAGCGACAGCGCCGTCTTGTTTACTTGGCCATGGAGGATTTTCGCAATGATCAACTGTTAAAGCAAATGGGAAAGCCAGTCGAGTGGATTGGCTACAATGATACCAAAATACATTTGGATTTGCTGCGTACGCAGCGCGTGCGATTTCTAACTGAAATCTACAAGGATTTACGTAATACGGAGGATAAGGAGAAGCGTCTGGAGCTGCTAGGACGTGTCATGGAGGTGCTTATGGAGGAAACGTGTTATCCAAACTTTCCCGAGGTAAGCACTCAAGATATAGAGAAGGCAATAACTACTTAACTAATAAATCTCTAGCTCTTTGATCTGTTTGATCGAGAAAAAAATCTTCTAATTTACACCAAGTCTTGCGATGTGGAAATTCTACGCAAGCGCCAGAACATATTATTCTTTGAGCTGATTAAGTTTCAAAAGCGCGATGTACCATCCAGTAAGTAAATATCAATACACAGATGTATTAAACATATTCAACGAATTTCTATATCCTGTCGCAGAGGTACCCTCGCGCATGTGCATCGTCTGCAAAAAGGTCAAGCCCTTATCCCAGTTTGCGATACGCACGCGCCAGAGTCATGTGGATACGTGCAAGCATTGCTACTACCTAAAGGTAGGTTAAAAGTTAATTGTTTTGCTTGGGCTACTTATGCGAATTCCTTGCAGTTGGTGGCCACAGAGAACAACGCTTATCAATCGATTCTGCGCTGCATTCAGCGCGACGAGCGCAAACGCAAGTGCGCAACATCTTTTGCCTTTGTCATACAGCAGGACGATGTGCGTCTCATTATAGACAAAATCTGGCATGGTCACTCGGCGCTGAGCAAGTCGGAAAATCTGAATGAATTGCGGTAAGCTCATTTTGAGAGTTAATTTGGAAGATTATTGTATTTAACATACATTTTGATAGATTACCTCGCTGGAACAAAAGCGACGACTGGTCCCCATGGAACTGTGTGTGCCTGACAGAGCGTGAGACGCGCGATCATTACAAGATCGAGGATATGGAAAAGGTTTACGACCCGAAGTTTATATTGCACGTTGGCAATTGTCATATGTTGGCCCGTAATTTGTTCCACACGTTGGCAGCTGTGGCCACAGAGTTCCAAGAGACAGGACAATGGTGGAAGGTAGGCATGAATAAGCAGCGCAGCAGCAAACTAGATGCGGTATAAATGCTATCAACTGGACAACAGAATATCAAAAAAAAAAAACCGTTTAAATATTTAATCAAATTAAAAGTTTTCTCTGAGCATATTCTACTGTCCGGCAATTGTTTATCTTATATGCAGCTGTTATTAAATTTGAATAGTTTACTTTAATTCAGCGCCTAATTATAAAATTACAATAATCAAACAATTCAAATTTTGATATAACTGAAACTATTTGCTACTAACAATGGCCTTAAACTTCGCCTCCAAATACTGAACACGTTTCAGTAATTTGTCACTGGTGCTGAACTCATTGTAGGGCACAGGTATGATTTGATAGCCACTCTTTTCCAGCAGATCGAACGCTAGGTTCGTTGTACCACTTGCACTGCGGTGCGCTCCATGGCATATGTCATGAAAGTCAATTACCATTATGGCGATTCTAAATGTATTAAACAGCGATATTAAAATCAGGTGCGTATAAGGATCAAATATTGTAGTAACTACCTAATGGCATCTGGATTATTATTATCCAGGGGAAGTGGATTTCGCTTTGCATCGAATTGGCATACAGCATCTGAAATTTAGATTATAGAAACTTTCTTTCAGCGCTTGAACCCACTTACCAATTAAGAAACCCATTTTGCTGTCAACCAAGCCCTGCACATGATTATTGGTAGGCAATAGGCTTTTTAACGCGTCTAACATTCCGTTGACAAGAATCTGTTTAGACTTTGTGTGCGCCATAGGCACTTTGTAGGCAGGACTATCGGCTGGCAGCAACGCGCCCTTATAGTCGCTGGCGCACAGTTGCGCATAGCTGTTAAGGTTCAGCAGCCTCATTTTGGATGTTGGCGTTAACCCGGCCTTTTCACTCTCCAATTTAGCTAGGAAGTCCGCCCTGCAAGGAAGAACTAGCTAGATTAGTCTGTTTTAGTAAAGCACCTGCAACAACAACCTCAGCACCGACTCTAATTGACTGTGCTCTACGAGCCCCAGCATTGTCAGTGACCAAACATAGTTCAGCCAATCCAATTGTTTCGTGAAATCTTCACGAACAATTGATTTCGCCAGCTTTTTTCGCACATCCTCCAAATGTGCACTCTTGAAGTTAAGCTGCGCCGCCGTTAAGAAGTAAGCACTAAGATCCTGAGGTCGGCAGATTTCACTGTTCTTCAGCAGCCACTGTGTCAACGATTCTAATATGTCTGTAATTAAAAAAGTTTGATTACTGTAGTATTTGACTTAAATTAGGGCCGTTTTGCATTTACCCAAATCCCGATAACGCATTATGCCCAGACTGGTCAGCACAGAGCCCACAACGGCCGATTTTTCGGAATTCTTTGGCAATGCAGCCTGCACATCTGCACACACTTTTG